GATCCCACGTGTATTTGAGTGTCAGAGTTTGGAACCTGGTCACCACCAAAGTGACTCTTGAGAGCAGAGGAGGAGGTTTTCCAGAAGCCTGATGTCAGCTCCTGGTCCCACTCCCCTCCCAGCCTGGCCCCACAGCGCTGCAAAGCCCTAGCGGGGAGGGCTGACTTAAGGAAGGGAGTGGCAACCCGAATTTAGAATTTCCTGCTGTTTAATACCCAGAATTAATTCTCTTTCTTATTAAGGAGGAAGAGGTGCTGAGGGAAAAAAAAAAAAAAAAAAAAAAAGCGGAAGCTAGGGGTTGTGGGTGACTTTCCAAATCTCGGCTGGTGTCGGAGACGGGCACGTGGAGTGTTCCCACTGTGTGTTCCCACCGAGCCCTGGAGTGCCTGCAGACCCCTCTGAACCCACCCAGGTGGGCTGCGGGCTGTGTCCTGGAGCTGCAGCTCTACTCAGCTGCAGAAAAACACGACTTGGGGAGCCCTGTTTGTGCCTTGAAATATGGGGTTTTTTTTTGACTTCCCCTCTTGCAGAAGCCGACTGCCAAGGCACCGAGCTGCTGAGGAAACTCCCTGGATATGCCAGAAAAGGTTTTCCAGCAGAGCTAGGTCACTGTAGTTTTACTGGCAAAGCCTCTTAAGCATAAATGAAGATTATTCTGGGGAAAGCTTATGCTTGGTACAGTTTATTCCGGTACAAATGAGCTATCCTGGGGGGAAAAAAAAAAAAAAAAAAAAAAAAAAAAAAAAAAAAAAAAAAAAAAAAAAAAAGGCACCTCTGCGCTTTTGGAATTGTTTCTGCTTTGGGACATTCTGTGGTCTAGAAATGTTAAAATCACAGCCCTCTTTGATACTGCCGGATCAGCAAGAGCTGGTTTGGCTGCTGCAGACGTGCCCTGGCCAAGCAGCAGCACTTGGAGTCCCGTGCACTGGGTGACAAAATGCCACAGGGAAGGATTGCAAGGGCTGGTGGCGTTCCGGATGCTTCCAGCGACCGCATCTCCCAGAGGGTCTGACCTGCCCATCTGGGATGCGTCCAGCCGTGGATGTTTGCTGGGTCCAAACTGGAGATTTGTGCTCTTGGCCCCAAGAATGCCAAGGGAGTGGAAAATAGCAGTGGAGCTGCCCAGGGACATCGGGTACTTGGCTGCAGTGGTCTGATGCAGCTGGATGAAAATGGGGACAAATGTTTTATGAAGATGGGGGGTTTTTTTCCCTTATTGAAAATTATTAATGATACCCTCGTTCTTTTTCTTCCTATGGTGATGATAATAGTAAATTCTGTCTGTCACAGAGGGAAAAAGAACCCCAGGGATGGTTGATTCAGCAGTTGAGATGCTACCCTGGATCTTGCAGTAGCCAGGATCTATTCCCAGCTTTGGCTCTCATTTCCTGTTTGATCATGGTGAAGGTCACATCAACCTCCAAACCCAAATTTTTTCATCATCTCCTAGAAGGGCTCCTACCTCCTCAGGGGCATTGCTCTCCCCGTGCCTCAGCTTCCCCACCTGGGACGGTGGAATCCTGAAGGGATCTTGGAAAGACAGGTACCTGCTGAGGGAAAGGGCAGGGAGGAGCACGCTGTGCCAGAAAAAACAAGGCTCAGGCTCCCTTATCTGGAGGCCAGATCAGAACCCTCTGGCTCTGGTGTCAGTGTGGTGGTTCCTGTGCCACGGAGCAGATTTGGGATCACGCACGTGGCTCTGTGCAGCCACGGAGCGCCATCCCCGCGAGATGGATCATGTGGCCCTGCCCTGAATGGCATATTCTTTGGGAAAAATTCCCATCCAAACTTTGTGGCTGGCGGGTCCGTAGTTTAGAGGGAGAAAAAAGAGCTTCATTGCAAATTCTTCGGCTGCTGACGAGCTCTGGTTTCTGATCTCCCAATTGCCATGGGGCATCTTCTGGGATATATAGAGGTCGTTGTGCTTAAACAAAAGGACACACAGAGAAAATAGCTGCAGTTGATGGGTGTGACAGAGGGGAAATGCTTTCAGAACTTTTTTTTCCTTTTTTTTTTTCCTTTTTAATTTAGAAACAGGCGCAGAGTTTATTTTGATCAAGAGATAGTCACACACTACCGCTTTAAAAGGCAAAACTCAGCAAGGAAAAGGAATGGTCTCACACTACTTGAACTGAAAATGCGTTTGGGAAAATGCCTCCTGTGTTTGCTGCAGTCCAAGTGGTACTCATCAGTTTGGGAATTTGTTTCTATTAAGGGTTTTTCCTCGGTCTAGGCTTTTTTTCCTTTTTTAAAGCATTCCTTTTGCATTCAGGGTCCTCTAGGATACTTGTGATGAGGGAGGAGGGCGGACTCCTCATGTCCTGCTCCCAGTCCCCATCTCCCCACCTCTGAGTCATTATTTTCTCCAAACTCATCTTCCTGCTGGGAACACTCCCCCTTGAGCCAGGGGCTGGCAGCATCTGCCCTAAGTTGCCTCAAGTGGACTCTTGATTTTGCTGAGGAAAAAAACCCGAACCCTTTTCCGTATTTGCTTGTTGTTTGGAGGTAAAACATTTCCCATTGCTGCAGCTATTCCAGCAGGGTTTTGGAGAGCAGTGGAAACATCCCAGTGTCCAGGGGGTTGCTTGAGCTGGGCTCTGAAGGAGTTCAAGTCTGGTTTGGATTTCAGAGTGTGTGGCCAAGGGGTTTGGGTGAAAACACACCTAAATCTGTCCATGCCAGCACCCACATCTCCCTGTTCCACGCTCAGTTAGTCCTCTCCTTCCCTTTTTGTTGTTGCCTGAATTATTCTCTCTGGACCATCCCTCCCACACATCCCCAGCTCACGACTGGGTGTTGGGTGCTGAGGATCACATCTGTTTGTAAACAGGGTGGATGAGGGGAGCTGACCTGGTGACGTGGGATGTGCAGGGATGGGGACCTCCCTTGGTACCCCAGGGATGGGGATTTTGGGAGAGGTGCCGGCCCCACACGTGCTTTGCTTTCTGATGTGCTTGAGTAGGCGTGGGCTGGTCGCCAGTAACCTGCCTGTGACCTCTCCTGCCTTAAACATTCAGGATCTTTTAAAAGGAAAGACTGGGCTTCGCTGCCTTCCCTTTGCCGGCGGGTCAAGTGCCTGTTTCCCCTGGCTGGGGATCCGGTGCCTCCTTGGAAGGTGTCCATCCATCACCTCGCCTGTGGGTGTTTCTGGGGTCCTTCAAGCCTGGCTGGGACCCCCTGACCAGGCACACTCTGCTCTGGAATGAGCTCCTGCCTCTCCCCCTGCTGGGATGGCAGTGGGGGCTCTCCAGAACACATCCCAGCTCCCAGCCCTGCTCCTCCTCCCAGCCCTTTAAAAACACCGAGAGCAGAGAGCCGGGAAGCACAATCCCACTGTGCTAAACCCCCGGAGCAGACCCCGAAGCCTCAAGGAATTTCCTGGGGTTCCTGTTGTGCCGCCCGCACGTCACTCAGCCGGGGGGTGACGTGGTGGCCCGAGGTTGTTTTATATCAACATCCTGTGAGAACCCATCGAGGCCGGGCCCCCAGGGACAGGGATGCTGCCTTCCACCACGGGCCAGGGATGCTGATGGGATGCTGGGGGCTGTGATGGGATGCTGGAGGTAGCAACGAGACTCTGGGAGTGGTAGTGGGATTCTGAGTGCAGTGATGGGATGCTGGAGGCAGCAGTGGGATGCTGGGGGCAGTGATGGCACTCTGGGTGCAGCGATGGGATGCTGGTTCCATGTCTTTGCAAGAGAAGCATTGCTGCCTTGCTGAGCCTTCGCTTCCTCATCCTGGGGTTTTCCCACTGGGATGGTGATCTCTGGGGAAGGCTGCTGGGGCTGGGCTGCTGTGTGTTCAGCCAGCATGTTGCACGTTTCCCACTGTGTAACATTCATGTGCTAGTTACTCCAAAATCCTCGGGAGACAGCTGACTCCAAGCAGTCTGAAGGCAGTATTTTCCATAATTTAGTTCCCTTTAGGGTCTGTAGCCAAAAGCAGTGGCTCCCAGACCCATCATGAAGGGCCCCTGGCCTGAGTGGTCTTGCTGGTGCGTCCTCTCTGGATCCACGCTTGCTGGTGTGAACTGGGGGGTCCTGGTGGGTGTCAGGGTGAGCAGTGGCGATGCTGGGGGGGCCCCATCCACGTTACCCATCTGCCCCCGCTGCCTTCCGTCCGCTCCTGCTCACAACCCGCCCGGGGGCCACGAGCCAGCCCCTTCCTCGCTCGGGATTGTTTTGCAAGCAGCGTGACAGGATGAGGAGGAAATGTGCCAGGAATGGCTCCATGTCTCCTCTTGGGAGAATCGAAGTCTATTTATAACCCGCCCCCCCCTTTCCCGCCCCCCTCTTCCCGCTCCCCCGGGACGGCGGAGCCGCTGGGGCAGACACAGCCCATCCTGTGCCTGCAGAGCTGCTCCCACTCCCCACACAGCAGACAGGAGTGTCCCTCCTGGCCAGCACACAGAGCCACGGGATCATTTAGGTTGGAAAAGACCTCCAAGATCATCCAGTCCAACCCTTGAGCACCCAACCTTCCTTATGGCATGTGAATGGACACACACACCCCACATGTGTAATTGCACAGACACGCTCTTGCTGCTGAACCACTGCTGCAGCTCCGTGTTCTCCATGCATGGCCTGGCCCTGTGATGAATCCAAATTATCCTGTGGCATTGATGGCATCAGCAGGAGCAGTGATGCTGAGTGCCCGGCAGAGCTTAGAGCCAGGGTACAGTGTGTGAGTGAGGTGGAGGAGGGCACTGATGCCTGTCTCAAGGTGGAAATGCTCTCAGCACCATTCTTAATACCTGTATAGGTGCTCCAACAGAAGGTGATTTGGAAAGATGGAGGTGCATTGGGAATTTTGGGGGAGGATGAAAAGCAGCCCCTTGGCAGGGCAAGGAGCAGGGGTCTGCATCTCGGGGCTTGCCATGGTGACGCGTCAGAGCCTGTCCCGCAGGGGAGACTCAACCCCATTTCTCTCTTTCTTCTCTTCCAGATTTCTCCAACCAAGTCAATTCCACATCCCTGAACTCTCCCACGAGCCGGGGGCCCATGGCCACCCCATCCCTCCACCCGTCCATCGGGCCGGGCATCGGCTCCTCGCTGGGCTCCCCGGGCCAGCTGCACTCGCCCATCAGCACCCTGAGCTCGCCCATCAATGGCATGGGCCCCCCCTTCTCCGTCATCAGCTCCCCCATGGGCCCGCACTCAATGTCCGTCCCCTCCACCCCCAGCCTGGGATTTGGCACCAGCAGCCCACAGGTGAGTGGTGGGGATGTCACTGCTGCTGGTTCAGCTGGGGAGGGGCCATGTCTGTGGGTTTCCTCATCCAGACAGACCCTAAAAGCAGAAGCCCAAGGGGGAAACTAAGATGGAGGCATCCTGCTCGTTTGGCTGGAGCTGCCTGTGTGGGCTGCCCTGGGTGGGCTATGAGGGACCAGCACAGCCAGGATATGGCCGTGGGTCACCTGTTCGCCCCCAGGAGAACGGGGGGTGAAGGGAGAACAGTGACCACCCTTGGGTCACCTGCAGGCAAGAGCCAGAGCCACCCTAACACTGGGATTATCGCCTGAGTAGTCCTGTCCCCTCCCTGGGAAGCAGCACATCCCCTCTGGGGCAAGCCCATGGTCCTAATAGAAACACAGAATTGTTAAGGTTGGAAAAGCCCTCTAAGATGGTTGAGTCCGATCATTAACCCAGCGTTGCCAAGTCCACCACAAAACCTGTGCCTCCAAGGGCCACATCCACAAGCCTTTTGAACACTTCCAGGGATGGTGATTCCTGGAATCACCCCGTGCAGCCCGTTCCAAATGCCTGACGACCCTTTCAGTGAAGAAATTTTCCCTACTAGCCAATCTAAACCTGGCGAAAATTGAGGGGCTGTTTCAACTTGTCCTGTCACTTGTGCA